AAAGAGTAATACATGATGACTTGTGTGGGGTTTTCCATGGGATGCAAGGATTGTTCGACATTTGAAACTCAATGTAATTTGACATATTAATAGCCTGTAGAGGAATCAACATGGTCATTTCAATAGTTGCAGGACAAGCATTTGAAGAAATTCAATATCCATTCATGATGAACTCAGCAAATTTGCTATAAAAGCTAACCTCAATGTGATAAAGGACATCTATTTAAAAAATGCAGCTATTAGAATGGCTTAAAACAGCTGGCATTATACTTAATGGTGAAAAGACTGCTTTTCCTCTAACAAGGGAAGGATGTCTTCTCTCAACACTTCTGATATGATGCTCTCAACATCATTGTTCTGGAAGTGCTAGCTAGTGAAATAGGGGATGAAAAAGAAATAGAAGGAATGCAGAAGAAAGGAAGAAATAAAACTGTCTTTACCTGAAGATGTCATGATAATCTACATGAAAAATCTCAGTGAATCTAAAAAAAGTACTTGAAACTAATAAGTGATTTTAACAAGGTTGCCAGATACAAGGTTAATATAAAAACAGTTATATCTTTCTACAGTAGCAATAAATAATTGGAAATTGCAGTTTTTAAAAAGTACTATTTACAGTAGCACCCCAAATGAAATACATAGGTATAAATAACAAAGTATATGTAGAATCTGTATGCTGAAAACTAAAAAACACTGTTAAAAGAAATCAAAGATCTAAATAAATGGGTTGGTTGGAAGACTCATTGTTCTTAAGATGTTCATTCTCTCCATATGACCTAGAAATTCAAAACAATTTTAGCAAAATCCCAGCAGGAATTTTTTTACATGTTGACAGACTGATTCTAAAACTAATATGGGGGACTTCCCTGGTGGTCCAGTAGTTAAGAATCTACCTGCCAATGCAGAGGACATGGGTTTGATCCCTGGACTGGGAAGATCCCATGTGCTTGGGGCAACTAAGCCTGTGTGCCACAACTACTGAGCCTGCATGCTGCAACTACTGAAGCACTTGCGTTCTAGAGCCCATGCTCTACAAGAAGAGAAGTCATCACAATGAGAAACCTGCACACAACTAGAGAGTAGCAGCCCCCACATGCCACAACTAGAGAAAGCCTGCACACAGCAATAAAGACCCAGTACAGCCAAAAATAAAAATAATAAAAATTTTAAAAAACCTAATATACAAAGGCAAGGATAATAGAATAGCTAAAACAATTTTGATAAAGAACGAGTTTGAATAATTCATGTTAACTGATTTCCAGACTTACTCTAAAGGTGTAGTAATGATACATGTATGATATTGGCAAAAAGGTAGACATACAGATAGATCAGTGGAACAGAATAGAGTTCAGAAATAGAACGAAACAGATGTGGTCAAGTGATTTTAGAAAGAATAATGGTGCAGTAGTGATTCAGCATAGAAAGGATGATTTTTTCAACAAAAGGTGCTGGACATACATATTCAAAAAAATGAACCTTGACCTAACTCTCACACATCATAAAATTTTAACTCAAATTACAGCCCTAAATAACTCAAATTATAGACTTAAAAGGGGCTTCCCTCATGGCTCAGAGGGTAAAGCGTCTGCCTGCAATTTGGGAGACCTGGATTTGATCCCTGGGTCAGGAAGATCCCCTGGAGAAGAAAATGGCAACCCACTCCAGTACTCTTGCCTAGAAAATTCCATGGATGGAGCAACCTGGTAGACTACAGTCCATGGGATCGCAGAGTCGGACACAACTGAGCAACTTCACTTCAACTTCATAGACCTAAAAAGTAAAACATAAGACTAGTTTTAGTGGCAGGTGGAATTTTTAACTCTGAGCCACCAGGAAAACCCCTTCTTTTATGTACAAGGTGTTATAAATTTCTTTCAGATTTTTTTTTTTTCACTCAACCGTAGGCCTTAAGAGATCTATCCACATTACTACACATAGATCTAGCTTATTCGTTTAACTGTTAAATTTGTTTATAGCCAAGTTTAGCATTCTATATAACCCAGTTGATCCTGGACAAATTACTTAACCATCTTAACCTCAGTTTCTTTATTTGCAAAACAGTAATAACAGTATTAGTGACTATCACAAAGGGTTGTTGTAGGGACTAAAAGTTAATTAATATACAAAAAAATTTAGGACAGTGCTTGGCATATAGTAAACTTTGTTATTGACATTGTGATTATTTCTAATTTTTCACAATTACAAACCATGCTGCAACTGACTCTCCTTTTACATATTTTCACATCAAGGAATAATATGAATAAAGTAACCAAAAATGAAATTGCCAGAGCTGTGGTTGTGCTGCTTACCTAGGGTTACTATGAAGTCTTTAAAAAACCTTTTTTAACAGAAGTCTTTTATCAACTTGCCATTTCTTATACTCTCATGAGTTTCATAAAACTGCATTCTATCAGGGTATATTTTTTTATCTTTAAAAAATCTTTTGTTTGAACCCATCTCACATGTAAAGTACTACTGTAGATTTATTTATATATTTCTTTTGTCACTTTGGTGGGGTGTAAGAAGGGATGGGAATTAATATGTTGTCAACCGTCTTGAAATGGAAATCATACCTAAATTTTTAACTAACATAATTTGATTATATATTGACATCAAAACTTAAAATAGTTCTGTCACTCCTTTCACTCCTCTCCCTTGCAGAAGACAGAAATTGTTTTTATTTTTCCTTCTCTATTAGATTTTAATGAAGTAATTCCAGATTTATCATTTTGCATTACAGTTGGCCTTTGAACAATGTGTGGGTGAGGGGTGCCGGCCCTAAGCAGTTGAAAATTCATAACTTTTTAGTTGACTCTCCATATCTGCAGTTCCACATCCAAGGATTCAACAAACAGTGTATCATGTAGCGCTGTAATATTTATTGAAAAAAAATCCAGGTATAAGTGGATCCATGCAGTTCAACTTTGTATTGTTCAAAGGTCAGCTGTATATATCTTCAGTTTTATTTACTGTTTAGAAAATATTGCCAACCATTAAGCTTCTTTTTTTAAAAAGCATTATTGAAAGTTTCTTACTATTTATTACATGCCACACCTTCTCTTTCTAATGATATTATTTGGCCACATTTAATTCTTTGAGTACTATTTTCAGGATTGGTAAATGATGTGGTATACTTCTTATGTCCTTGTTTTCATGGAAATGTGTGTATTTTTCCCTTGTAAACTTGATTGATAGCTTGTCTGTGTTCAGAATTTGAGAGTCACTGTCTTCCCTCAGAATACTATAAATATTGCTCGTTTGCCTTCTGGTATTTAATGTGGCAAATTACAGGTCCAATGCCTGTTTGAATGTCTTTTACTGGTTGGTAACCTTATACTTCTGTCTGGAAATATGTTGCCAATTCGGATATTTAACCAGAATAAATATCTAGGTGTCTAACATTCTGTTATGCCTTCCCTGACATTATAGATCCTTAGATGTGGAAATTTGGAGATTTCTTAGGGGAAAGTTTTTTATTATCTGTTTTGATTATTGTTGTTTAGTTGCTAAGTCATGTCCAACTCTTTGTGGTCCCATGGACTGCAGCATGCCAGGCTTCTGTGTCCTTCACTACCTCCAGGAGTTTGCTCAAACTCATGTCCATTGAGTCAGTGATGCCATCCCAACATCTCGTGCTTTGATGCCTTCTCCTCCTGCCCTCAATCTTTCCCAGCATCAGGAGCTTTTCCGATGAGTCTTCTCTTTGCATCAGATGGCCAAAGTATTGGAGCTTCAGCTTCAGTATCAGTCCTTCAATGAGTATTCGGGGTTGATTTCCTTTAGGATTGACTGGTTTGATCTCCTTGCTGTCCAAGGGAGTCTCAAGAGTCTTCTCCAGCACTACAATTCAGAATCATCAATTCTTCGGCACTTGGCTTTCTTTATGGTCCAGCTCTCACATCTGTACCTAACTACTGGAAACACCATAGCTTTGACTATGCGGACCTTTGTTGGCAAAGTGATATCTCTGCTTTTAAATACACTGTCTAGGTTTGTCTTAGCTTTCCTTCCAAGGATCAAGTGTCTTAATTTCTTGGCTGCAGTCACTGTCCGCAGTGATTTTGGAGACCAAGAAAATTAAGTCTGTCACTGTTTTCATTGTTTCTCCATCTATTTGCCATGAAGTGATGGGACTGGATGCTATGATCTTAGTTTTTTGAATGTTGAGCTTTAGGCTCTGCTCTTTCACCTTCGTCAAGAGGTTCTTTAGTTTAGTTTCTCTCTCTCTCTCTCTCTCTTTTTTTTTTTTGCCATTAGAGTGGTATCATCTGTATAGCTGAGGTTATTGATATTTCTCCCAGCAATCTTGATTCCAGCTTGTTCTTCATCCAGCCCAGTGTTTCTTATGATGTACTCTGCATATAAGTTAAATAAGCAGGGTGACAATATACAGCCTTGACATACTCTTTTCCCACTTTGGAACCAGACTGGACTGGTTTTGATTATTACTTTTTCATTTTGCGATACTATTTTTCTTTTCCAGCAAAGGAAATTTTATTATTTATTTTTCCAATTTTGTTGTAATATAATTGACATATAACAATGTATAAGTTTAAAGTATACAACAAACAGGGCTTCCCTGGTGACTCAGTGGTAAAGAATTCACCTGCAGTGCAGGAGATGTGAGTTTGATTACTGGGTCAGGAAGATCCCCTGGAGAAGGAAATGACAACTCATTCCAGTATTCTTGCCTGGGAAATCCCATGGGTAGAGGAGCTTGGCAGGCTTCAGTCCATGGGGTCACAAAGAGTTGGACATGACTTAGCAACTAAGCAACAACAACAAATACAACAAACAACTGCTGCATTTTGCTCTATGAAAGGAGTCAGAGCAAGTACCTAACAAAGAATATCAGTGATTTTATAGGTACTGAAAAAAGGATTGACAGGTAAAAAATAGATACATATATATATGCATAAATAAAATACTCATTTGAGTGGTATTATAAATGTGCAAGACAATTTCTAGACTTTAATTTGGAACTTGATCTTCCATTTTAGGACCGGAAATTAACCAAAGCCGAGCAGCAAAGGTTCAAGGAAGAAGCAGAGATGTTAAAGGGTCTCCAACATCCCAATATAGTTCGATTCTATGATTCCTGGGAGTCTATATTAAAAGGAAAGAAATGTATTGTATTAGTGACGGAACTTATGACATCAGGAACCTTAAAGACGTAAGTTGACCCTGATAGTGTCAATGGAGATTTATTTGGAAATAATTTTCAAGAGTCACAAAAGTTGTTTGCAAAGAAACACTACATGGTTAAAGAATTAGTAGATTCTGAATCTAGTGACTGTGTTTCAGGGCAGGTTAAAAAATTAGGGTGTTAATGAAGTTTGTTAGAGAACACAGTGTTGAAAAATTAATGTTTGTGGCATATCATTGAACTTTAGAACTAGAAATAATTATAGAGATAATGTCATTTTGTAGAGGATGAAAGATTGGGGATGTGGCAGGTTCAAATACCTAGTGATTGATACTATATAATTATAGTCTATTGTTTCTGACTAGAGCATTTCATCTGATGGTACAGCCACTTATTTGTGACTGTTACATGTGGTATGTACTTTTTCTGTAGGGGAGGTGTACTTTGAAGCTTTATATTTAAAAATATTTTGTTAGACAATAAAAAAATAACTCAGTGATGGCAATCCTAATACATACTATATTGGCTCGTTTATGTGATTTACCCTAATGTACTTATACAATAAGCTAGGTATGTTTGTTTACATGTGATCTTTTGTTTCTTTGTGTAGGTACTTAAAACGATTTAAAGTAATGAAACCAAAGGTCTTAAGGAGCTGGTGCAGGCAGATTTTAAAGGGGTTGCAGTTCTTGCACACTAGGACTCCTCCTATTATTCATCGGGATCTGAAGTGTGACAATATTTTCATCACGGGACCCACTGGATCTGTGAAGATTGGTGATCTAGGACTAGCCACCTTAATGCGTACATCATTTGCTAAAAGTGTCATTGGTGATTAACGTTTTATAGTTTATTGATTGTGTAAAGGAAGATTTTTTTAAACTGTGTATTTTTAGAACAGGAATCAGCAAACCATAGCCTGTGGGCCAACTTGAACTTCCCTGTCTATTTTTGTAAAAAAAAGTTTTGTTGGAACACAGCAACACCCACTGATTTACATATTGTGTATGGCTGCTTTTGCACTGCAGTGTTAGAGTTAGTTAGTTGTGACAGAGCCCATATGGACTGCAAAGTCTGAAATATTTACTGTTTGACCCTTTATAGAGAAGTTTACTGGCCCCTGGCCTAGAATGTGAGTTTACTTTGAAATATCTATTATATATTGACTGATTTCAGTGACATCCTAGTGTATTTCTTTTGTGATGTATTTAATGTTATTGAAAAGTTCTGAGGACTTATAAAGGGGATTTACTACTTCAAAAATTTTAAATAACTTAAACGAAGGATAGAAAAAAAAAAACAGATTTTGGTGATCATTACATATGAGCATTGCAAACTGTCCTTTATCAGTATGGAAAATTAAGGAAATTAAGGACATTATATATGTGTGTGTGTGAGGGTATGTATGTATATATTACACACACACACACACACACACACACACACACACACATATGTTTGCTTTAAGGGAACAGAAATTATCTCAAGTAATCCTTATGGCAAAGGGAATGTGATCTTGGCATACATTTTTTTTTTGTCTGCAGTACATCACTTGAGGGAATCTTAGTTCCCTGACAAGAGATTGAACCTGGGCCCTAGGCAGTGAGAGCACAGAGTCCTAACGACTGGACTGCCAGGGAATTCTCTACATTTTTCTTTCTTAAAAATATGTGGTTGTGGTATTTTGTAGGTACTCCTGAGTTTATGGCCCCAGAGATGTATGAAGAGCATTATGATGAATCTGTGGATGTCTATGCTTTTGGAATGTGTATGCTAGAAATGGCTACTTCAGAGTACCCTTATTCTGAATGCCAGAATGCAGCTCAAATATACCGTAAAGTAACTAGCGTAAGTATAACTTTATACTTTTTACTTCACAAATTGCCACATTTCATGGTAAAGTCAACCAAAAGTCAACTTAGTCAAACCTAACTTTGGTTTCAGTTCAGTTCAGTTCAGTTGCTCAGTCATGTCCGACTCCTTGCGATCCCATGAACTGCAGCACACCAGGCCTCCTTGTCCATCACCAACCCCTGGAGTCCACCCAAACCCATGTCCAGTGAGTCGATGATGCCATCCAACCATCTCATCCTCTGTCGTCCCCTTCTCCTGCCCTCAGTCTTTCCCAGCATCAGGGTCTTTTCCAATGAGTTAGTTCTGTGTAAATAGTGCTAAATTTAACATAATTGTAATGAAACAAGCTTTAGATTTATGCTATGTACCCATAATCAAATGGGGTCATATAAAATGCTCTATATTAGTATCTTGGGGGAAAATGTACAGATATGTTATCTATATCCATTTGTTTGTGAAGAATTTTTAGATATTTATTCAGTTTAGTTCAGTCCCTCAGTTGTGTCCGACTCTTTGTGACCCCACGGACTGCAGGATACCAGGCCTCCCTGTCCATCTCCAACTCCTGGAGTTTATTCAACTCATGTCCATTGAGTTGGTGATGCCATCCAACCATCTCATCCTCTGTCATCCCCTTCTCCTCCTGCATTCAATATTTCCCAGCATCAGGGTCTATTCCACTGAGTCAGTTCTTCGCATCAGGTATCCCAAGTAGTGGAGTTTCAGCTTCATCATCAATCCTTCCAGTGAACACCCAGGACTAATCTCCTTTAGGATGGACTGGTTGGATCTCCTTGCAGTTCAAGGGACTCTCAAGAGTCTTCTCCAACACCACAGTTCAAAAGCATCAATTCTTCGGCTCTCAGCTTTCTTTAGAGTTCAACTTTCCCCCTTCATACATGACTACTGTAAAAACCATAGTTTTGACTACATGGACCTTTGTTGGCAAAGTAATGTCTCTGGATTTTAATATGCTGTCTAGGTTGGTCATAACTTTTCTTCCAAGGAGAAAGAAATTTCATGGCTGCAGTCACCATCTGCAGTGATTTTGGAGCCCAAGAAAATAAAGTCAGCCACCGTTTCCCCATCTGTTTGCCATGAAGTGATGGGACCAGATGCCATGATCTTAGCTTTCTGAATGTTGAGGGTTTTTTTTAAATTTATTTATTTTAATTGGAGGCTAATTACTTTACAATATTGTGGTGGTTTTCGCCATACATTGACATGAATCAGCCATGGGTGTACATGTGTTCCCCATCCTGAACACCCCCTCCCACCTCCCTCCCCATCCCATCCCTCTGAGTCATCCCAGTG